GGTTAAAAGTGTATTTCAAATAATTTATCTCAGTTCACTAGGTATGATCAAGACATATAAAAAAACTATTGAATCATTGATTTATTAAAGACTAACTATACATCTTCTAACATACTACAAATTATTTTCTATTAATATTTTTTAACATTATATAGCAAATTTATTTGTAATAAAATAATTAAAATAATTTTTTAAAGGAACCAACCAATTATTCAAATATATTTTTTTATGCTAATTTTGTTGATTATTTTGTAAATAAACATATATAGATCTAATATATATATTTTAAAAAACTAATATTCTCACCAATGTTAAATAAGAATAAATTTTTATTTTTTCATTAGTTAATTTTTATGCAAGTCTATATATTAATTGTGATTTTATTTTTTTGATGCAGTCTTATGGAAAAAAATTTAAAGTATTTTCTTTTGAATTCTTAATTAATATTTCAAATTTAAATTATTACAAGTTTTTATTTAAGCATTTTTTAAGCAAAAAATTTAAAACTTAATCTTTTCATTACCAAATTTTTTTTTCATTACAAGTTTTTACTTAAGCATTTTTTTATAAAGAATAATAAATCATTTTTTAAGAAAAAAATTTATGAAACACACAAAAAAATGTAATAATTAAATAAAAAATAATGAAAAAATTAAAAAAAAATCAAATGATTTTATTCTATCTACCCGTAGCATTGTACGGATAATTTTAAATTTTAATTTTTTCATTAGCATTAAATAAGAATTTTTTTCATTTGTTAGTTTTTTTATAAATTTATTTTTTAGAATAAAATATTATGAAAATTCTATTTTTAAATTTTTTTTAATTCTTGATTAATATTTTAGTTAAAACTATTATATTTTTTTATTTTAAAATCAATCCATAAAGAAAAATGATTTATGTTTTTTTTTAAAACAGAAAATTTATGAAAAACATTAAAAATTTTAAGTAAAAAAAATTATAACAAAAAGTTTTAAAATTTTAAAGTGATTTTTTTTTTTACCGAAGTCGCGAGTAGTACGGGCAAGCGACTAGTTTAATCCAAAGCACCTCACATAATAAAATTTTTTTAAAAGACATCAATCACATGAATAAAAAAAGAATGATATTAAGACACACACACAAACATATATATGCATAATATGAAAAAGAAAATTTCTGGTGTTACAAGTATAGACTAGAAGACAATTTTTTCTTGAAGAAAACTATATTTTTTTAATAATTGTTTGAATACTTAATCAATCATTATAGAAAATATATAATATCTTATTAATTTTTGTTGTTATTATATGTTTCAGCATATTTAATTAATCTTACAGTATTTAAAAAATAATTTCACACAAATTGAAAAGCTAAAATCACCAAATTTTAAGCTATGATAATTTTAAGCTATGATAATGTGATTTTATAGCATCGCATTCAACCCCGTTTGAGACGTCAAAGAGCAATATCAAAGCTCTTAAAAGGCCCGACCATTAGTCTCAAAACAACAGGTGGCAATTTTTATTTTATATCGGAAAAAAAAGATCAACCCAAATGTAGTCAGGCCTTTTACATAAGTCGTTAGATAGAACTTATTAATGGTCTTGGATCCTTCCGAGATTCTACCGATTTATCTATTTTTACAGGAGCCATTTTTTTTCCAATAAAAATATTTGCAAAAAAAATAAAAATAGAACAATAGAAAAACCCAACAAAACCTGTTAATTTAAAAAACGTTCGAGTCCTTTTGACATAACTTCTAACAATGAGTCATAATCTAAAATTATCTTTCATAAATAACATAAAATTAAAATGACTTAAAACTAATTTTAAGTTAAAAGTAATTCAAATAATTTACTTGAAGAAATAATATAGTATAACTTATATTCGACAAGTTAAAAGTTAAAAATTTTCAATTTTTAATCAAAACAAAATTTTGATTCAAACAAACTTTCAATCCAAGTAAAAAGTATTTATCACAAAACATTTTTATTGTAGTCAAATTGGAAATGGTCATGTTAATTGATATTGATAAACAAATGCTATAACTTCAATAGTCAAATTTAATACACAAGCATATCCAGGCGATTATGTAGTCAATAATTAGTGAAATAGGTTTGAATTTCAATAGCTTCAGTTATTTGATTATTATATAATTAAAAAAAAAGTATTTTCGTTTTATAGACTTTTCATTAAAAAATAAAAAATAAAAAACAACCAAATCTAACTAGGCAAACATCCCAAGTCCCGGTCCAAAGTCCTAACAAATTTAGTTGTTGCTGAACAAACTCCATATTGGAGCAAATTATGAATTAGTTTTTTTAGTTTAAAAAAAAATTAATTAGTTTTTTAAAATAATTATTTAGTCTTTTTTTTCTATTTTACTTTATTTTATAATTTTTTTAAAAAACTAGAAAAGCAAAAAGAATAAATAGATATAGAAAGATCTATAAAAAAAAAGATTTTTAATAATAAAATAATATTAAACTAAACATGATCAACACTATTTAATGGATTAAATAATTCTATATTTTAAAAAATGACTAATTCATTTATTTTTTATACTACAAGGATTGATTTATGATTTACTCCTTCGGATTGAAGCCAAACCGTCTTGCGTTCTAGTTATAGAAAAAGAAAAAAGCTAAAAGAGTTTAATTACTCTTGAATTTTAAGTCATTTGAAATTAAGTTTCTGAATTTTTTTATTGGTTTTGAAAATCTATGAACTTTTAATTTTTTCAAATTTAACCTATCGAAAGAGTTGAAATTTATCAAACACATTGGAAAGCATTCAATTTATTTTGTAGAAAAATTTCAAAAATTTTCAAAATTGAAGACTATATTTGTTTATTTTTTGAATAATAAAATTATAGAAAATTGAGGAAAAACAAATAATCTCGAAACAATTCTAAATTTTTTTGAAGAGTTCTACATAAATCTCACTAAGTGATTTTTATTATAAAACTATTCATGTGATTGTTATTTTTTTTTATAAAACTATTTATATGATTATTATTTTTTAAGATAAAAGGAAAAAAAACTGAAAAATGAGCTAAATTTGAAAAAAAAATTAAAGTTTAAAGATTTTCAAAAGTAATAAAATATTCAAAAAAATCAACTTCAATTCACTTAGGCTTTGTTGTTTGGCGAAAAACAACTTCCAATAAGAATAACAATTTCGGATAAGTTATTTTTCAAGAAGTTATTTTTCAAAAAAATATTTTTTGACTTTTGAAAATTACATGAAAAAATTATCGAAAAATATATTCCGAGTGTTTGTTTGATACAAAAAACTGAAATACAAAAACAAACCGTGATTGTTACCTCAACAAGTTTTTTCAAAACATATTTTAGTTTTGAGGAAATTTCAACAAGGCATATTCACAATTTCACAATATAAGATGCATTTAGAAAAATTTAATAAATTTTTATAAATACCGACGCTAAGATTTAAATTCAAAACATAAAATATACATTTTTAACAATTAAATCAATTCATCAAAATTACTTGGGAAAAAATTAAGTCAATATTCACATTTAATAAAAAAATTTATAAGTAATCTTAGTATTGTTATTTTGGTAACTCAATTAAGAATTCTATTTTTTAAAAAAATTGAACTGATAATTTATTCTAAAAAATAGTCTTACAAATTATTAGTTATTATTTGTAGATAATTATTCATTTGGTTTCAAAAGATTAATATTGGAATAACTTGTAACTAATTATTGACTATAATTACTACTAAAATTTTATAACCGATTAAAATTAGTTACAAATTATTGACTTAGTCGCAAATGAATAGTGTTGAAAAAATAATATGTTTATTAATGAATTAATTAGTTTCAATTTTTTCACAAATGATTGTAGTCTTTTAATAATCATTTTGAATCATTTAAGTATAGTTTAGGTGGTGTTTGAGATAACGATAAAAAAAATATAGATAAATTATTAAAATATTTATTATAAAAATAATTTTAAGGTGTAAAAATAGTTTTTAAGAATATTTAATGTATTTATAAATTGAAAAATCAAATTTTAGTAGAAATAGAGAAAAAATAATTAACATTTTAATTTAATATTTTTTAAATAAAAAGGAGATAAAGAAAAAATTATTAAAATATATCGAGAGAGAAGTGAGTAACTTGAGAGCAAGATAGTTCGTGAGAAAGAGAAAAAATGTTTTTTTCTTTTTTAACTCAGAAAATATTTTCTTAAAAATACTATGTTATTTTTTGTTGATTAAAAATTATTTTTTATTAAATTTTTTTCCTAAATGCATGAAACAAATATCGAAAAATGAAAGAATTGAAAAAAACAAATTGCTGAAATTATTTTTCCTCGAACAAACACAGGTTTAAAGTTAGGTTGCGTAGGCACGTGTTGGGTAGCTAAAATGAAATATCAAAATCACCCCTCTGATCAGCACGTGTTGTGTAGGCGAGTAAGAGAGTGTGCCACTGCTGGACCAAGAAAAAACAAAAGATAGAAAACATCCAAATGCCTGATCCATTCAATTCCATCCATCCATCTGCAACTGCGACGGTGAAGTCCAGCAACTGAAGAAGAAGAAAGGCTAGTAACTTCACTTGATTGTTTTCTCTTCATCATTTATTTCTCGAATTCTGTTAGTTTGATTTTTTTTTTTTTCAACTATATGTATCTTTCTTGAACAAAGGTTAGGCTTTGACAGTGTTGTGGTTCCTTTACATTAAGAAATTTTGATAACCTGTTTAAGGCATGTGTAAACTCAATTTCTTTGAAATTTTCTGGATAGCTTATTATGTAGCTCATCTTAGATAAATAGATTATTATTTCCTTTCACAATTCCAAAAGATTAAAAAAAACAAACAAACTTAGAAACCCTTTGAATTTGGGAACTAAAAAACACTATTACAATCTTCTTTTTGCAGGATATGAAGGCTCCTTAGTTTTGTAAATGCTCCTCCATTGTAAAATATCATGGTTGGTTTTAATGTAAAGTGTATTTTTTTGCTAGTAGAACTTCTGTAGACGAAATGGGTTACTCTATGAGTAGACTGGAGATTGAATCTGAACTCTGTGATGGTGGGAAGGCCATTCCTGAGGTTGGTAGCAGCAAGAGAGCCGGCAAATCATTGAACAAGTTAGACCATGAAATTGCTCAGGTTACCAAGTTGAAATCAGGGCCGCATAAACAGCTGGCTGAACTTGTTCCTGGGATGCGGGAATTGTCTGTTTCCACTGTTAAAATGTTGGCAGGTAGAGAAGCTAATTACTCAAGAAGGGGAAGATTCTCTGCATCTGATCGTTGTCATATGCTTAGCAGATATTTGCCTGTCAATGGACCTTGGCTTGTTGACCAGATGAGCACACGAGCCTATGTCTCACAGTTTTCAGAGGATGGTTCTCTATTTATTGCTGGGTTTCAGGTAATGTGTATATTGCTATGTATTGCAATTGGGTTTGGGAAATAAATAACTTAAAAAGGGAACAAATTGCAAAGGTTGGTTATCATACTTCCAATAAATTTAATGCTCATTATTTTGCACAATATTTATTTCAGGGAAGCCATATTAGAATATACAATGTGGAAAAGGGGTGGAAAGTCCAGAAAAACATTCTTGCCAAAAATCTGCGTTGGACTGTTACTGATACATCTCTTTCCCCAGATCAGCGCCATCTCGTGAGTTTTGGATTTCTGGCTAATAAAATTTGCAAGCGAGAAATGTTCTTTCATATGTAAACTTCTGAGGGTTAGATATGAAGTGGGCATTTGAAAGATGCAACAGAAAGGTGTCATAAATGATTTTCAACCACTAAGAATGTGTTTGTAGGACTTCAAGTTATCAAATAAACTTCTTTTAAGTCTAAAGTAGTGGGCTTTGGTGGTGTGGATGGAAGTAACATTCATCAATAGAGATTTGCGTCATGTTCAGTGTAGAAATGCTATGATTTATTATCTGCTGTTACTTTCTGTTTTCACATCTAAAGCTTTCTCTTACACCTCCTTTGAAGTTTATTGAATCAAGTGAATGCTTTGATAAATAGCTCGATAACATCCAGAATGATCTGTTTACATTTACTAACCACCAGAATCTCAAGATTTGTATGAGCATGCGCGCTTGAATGTGCTTATTGATGATCATCCTCTTTGGTTGCTTTTGGGTTTGGTTTTGGTCACTTGAAGTTGCTTTTCCCATTGTTGTGTAGCCTGACTCTTCTCATAAATGTTAATCAGCATATATGTTGCTGTTGCAGGTTTATGCTAGCATGTCACCTATTGTTCATATAGTTGATGTTGGGTCTGCCAGAACTGAGTCTCTTGCAAACGTTACGGTATGCGGTAATTGGTGATCTTTATAATTGAAACATGTAACAATTAGTTAAAGAAAACTAGAACTCATAGCAAAATAATACTAAAGTCTTTGATGCCAGCCAGCACAACCCAGTTTTGGATTTTCAATGCAAGTCACTATCTGATTGTTACTGTATCGATATAACTATGAAAGCTGTTAAGTTGGTGCCTGATTTACCATCTAAAGTAACAATACACGCAGACTCTGCCAATATTGAATTTTGTAGGCATGGAGTACTTCTAGCCATAAATAAACAAATAAAATGTCCCATATTTGATGCATGTTGATGCATTCATGGTTAGGGATGGGGATCTGCAAGGTTAGGAAAATCGATAACAACCTCCTTGATTGTCTTCCATCTAAAGAATTGTTTGCTACATGGAAAAACAGTAAGAACTAGATTTTTTTTTTTTTTTTTTACAAACCGTGATTCTAGCACACAGGTGTATGTTGGAATCTTCTTAATTTGTCACTGTACTTGTACTTGTTGGTACCAAAATCTTGGTCACAGTTCCTGCTTGCATTATTGAGATTATTTAGTCTCAAGAATGCCAGTATAGATTTGTTTGCACCATGGAGTACAACTCATAAGTGATAAACAAAAGTGGTTATCAACCTCTCTAGTCACCATGTTGAGATGTAATCTAAGGGTTTCCTGGTTTTGATTAGTCTTATTTATTAAAGAATTTAGTTTCATGTAAAAAAATTATTCACATTCAGAGTCTATATGTTTTGTAGGAGATTCATGATGGATTGGACTTTTCTTCAGATGATGATCGGGGCTATTCTTTTGGAATCTTCTCTGTAAAATTTTCTACTGATGGACGAGAAATTGTTGCAGGAAGTAGTGATGACTCTATATATGTCTATGACCTTGAACAAAATAAGCTCTCCCTCAGAATTTTGGCACACACGGTAGGTAAAATATTGTGATAACTTCAGTTGAACCACAATTGGATTATGCTACGTTTTTCTTTTCTTGGTTCTTAATGGTTTTTACATTGAGCTTACATTAATTCCCGCAAATTGTATGGATGTCCAACTTACTATCTATGAGGTGCATAGAGTATTAATCTATAATCTCTGGCCAACAAAATCAGCCCTTGGTTTCTACCCCAAATGGTAGATGGGTTGGGGTAGTAGCACACCGAGTATTCATGTATAGCCTCGGCCAACCAATTAACAGTCCTTGGTCTCTATCCCAATGGATGGTAAATGGGTGGGGGCATTAGGGTGGGCAGTAAAGTCTTTTAATAGAAGTAGCCTGAAACAACCACATGGTTGTTAAAGTCGAGTTTATGTACTCACAAGTTGAAGATATTGAGATGAATGCAGTGATGACAAAGAAATGCAACACCATTTTTGCCATTTTCTGTCTCTTCAAGTGGGATTGTGGAAATATAGACTTTTCAGGGGTTCTGAAGTTTGTTTAATGCTGCAGTCTGACGTTAATACTGTATGTTTTGCTGATGAAAGTGGGCACCTTATCTATTCTGGGAGCGATGATAATCTTTGTAAGGCAAGTTATATTGATTTCTTCTATTGAATATTGAAAGTACTAGGAAAGTTATCATTCTATGTTCAGTATTTATTGAATTTTCATTTGGATGTAAGTAGCACATCTCATTCATGCTACTCCAAAGAGAAAAAAAGGAAATAATATATTTTGTGAATATCTATTATTGTTGAAGTATCTTTTGATTTTTATTTGACGCAGTGGTTGGGATAATAGGGCTATATTGAGTTGAAACAAATAGCAGTTAAGGCTTCTGTCTTGGCAATCATAATTCTTGATATCATTACCATATAGATAGCGTTCCTCTTGGGTCTTGCTCTTGTATATTTAAGATACCATTACCAAGAGTACATGACATTGGCCTCCATGCTGTACTTGCTTGGCATGAAAAAGATTTTTTACATGGCTTTCCAGTACCTTTGTGGTTAGGAGCACTCTGGTAAATGGTTATAGGTTAGGTTTCCTGAAGATAGCCATTACTATTACTAATAAACTAAAACGGGTGGGGAGTTCACCATCCGAATGAACAGTGAACTCTCTATACAGTAGCACTGTCATTTGAACAGTGTTAGGTTTTTTTTTTTTTGTAATTTTCACTCTTAGCTTTTTTCCTTAGTTTTTTTTTTTTTTAATTTTCAAATTATTTCATTTTAATCACTAAAATTTTAAAATAAAAATTTTAATCCGTGGCTGATGCACTATATGTCTTCTTTTTTTCATCATTTTATGTTTTTTTTTTTAATTTAATTGACTATTATTATTTTTTAAAATCGATTGTTATTTTTTTTCACACTATACTACTCAATCTTAGTTTTTTTTTTTTTTTTTTTAAATTTTCACTCTTATTGTTTTCTTAGTTTTTTTTTTTTTTTACATTATTTCGTTTATTTTAATCACTAAAATTTTAAAATAAAAATTTTAATCCCTAGCTGATGAACTATATGTATTTTCTTTTTTCTTTAGTTTTTTTTTCTTTTTTCATCAATTTATGTTCTTTTTTTATTTAATTGAGTGTTAAAATTTTTAAAAATCGATTGATTTTTCACATTATACTACTCAATCTTAGTTTTTTTCTTTTTTTTTTAATTTTCTCTCTTAGTTTTTTCTTCTTTTTTTTTTTACATTTTTTTTTTGTAATTTTCACTCTTAGTCTTTTTTCCTTAGGTTTTTTTTTTTTTTTTTAAATTTGAAATTATTTCATTTTGATCCCTAAAATTTAAAATAAAAATTTTAATTGCAAGCTGATGCTTTTTTTTTTCTTTTTTTTCTTTGGCTTTTTTTTTTTTTTGCTCTTTTTTCCATCAATATATGTTCTTTTTTTTTTTTTTTTTCATTGAGTGTTAAAATTTTTAAAAATTGATCGTTATTTTTTTCACACAAGTCGATAATTATATAATATACATAGATTAAATGTATATATTTCAAAAATACTCCCCTCACAATGTACTATTCTCTCTTACTTTTTTTTTTTTTCCAAATTATTTTGTTTTGATTTTTTTTTTTTTGTAATTTTCACTCTTAGTTTTTTTTTTCCTTACATTTTTTCTATGATTTTCAAATTATTTCGTTTTGATCCCCGAAATTTTAAAATAAAAATTTTAATCTCGATCTAATGCACTACGTGCCTTTTTTTTTTTTTTTTAACTTTTTTCCATCAATTTATGTTTTTTTTATTTAATAGAATGTTAAAATTTTTAAAAATCAAGTGTTGCCTTTTTCACATAAACCGATAACTATATAATATATATATATAGATCATATGTATATACTTTTTAAAAAAATCTTCTCATCAACATTAAACAAAAATAAAATTTTATTTTTTCACTAGTTAATTTTTGTGCAAGTCTATATGTTGAATATAATTTTATTTTTTTGTATATATTTTTATAAAGCAATATATTTTTAAAGTTTTTGTTTTTATGACAATACTGTTTTTCCTCTCACAATGTACTATACACTTTTTTTTTTTTGTTTGTTTTACCCTTATGATGTACTATTCACTCTTTTTTTTTAACTCTCAAAATGTACTATTCACTCTTAGGTTTTTTCTTTTTGTTTTTTTTTTTTTAAATTTTCACTCTTAGTTTTTTTCTTAGGTCTTTCTTCGTAATTTTTAAATTATTTCGTTTTGATCCTTGAAATTTTAAAATAAAAATTTTAATCCTTAGCTGATACATTACATGCTTTTTCATTTTTTATTCTTTGATTTTTTTCATCAATTTATGTTCTTTTTTGTTCAATTAGGTGTTAGAATTTAAAAAATCAATTATTTTTTTTTTTCACACAAACCGATGATTATATAATACGTATAGATCAAATATATCTACTTTAAAAAAATAATCTTCTCATCAACATTAAATAAGAATAAATTTTTATTTTTTTATTGGTTAATTTTTATGCAAGTCTAGACATTAATTGTAACTTTATTTTTTTTGATATGTTTTTATTAAACAATATATTTTTAAAGTATTTATTTTTAAATTCTTAATTAATATTTTAGGTTTAATTATATATTAAAATTTTTTATTTAGGAATCCCTAAATAAAGAAAAATAAATCATTTCTTTCAAGCAGAAATTATATGAAAAAAAAAATTGTAATAATTAAATAAAAAATTATAAAATTTTGAAATGATTTTGTTCTATCTATCCGTTGTATTGCGTGGATAATTTCAAAAATTAATCTTCTCATCAGCATTAAATAAGAATTTTTTTTTTCATTTATTAGTTTTTATAAAAGTCTATTTATCAATTATTACTTTATTTTTTTAATACAATATTATGAAAAATATATTTTTTAAGAATTAATATTTTAGTTAAAATCAATCCATAAAGAAGAATTATTCATGTTTTTTAAGCAAAAAATTATAAAAAATATTAAAAAAAATTAATTAAATACGAAATTATAATTAAAAAATATTCAACCGGATCCGTAGCGTAGCGCGAGCAACCGACTAGTTCGTATTAAATCTTATGATAACAAATTGCCAGTGCTATATAAAGATATTGAATTCATCGAGGATTTGGTAAGGAATGTATGTACTTGGCGTTCATTTGATGATATATAAAGTTATCAAGCTGTTAAAAGTTTGGGTGGGATCTGTAGTTTTAGAGAGGTAATGGTAGTCACTGACTCACAGTGGAACATAAATGATTATTCTGCACTGCATTCCTAAAATTATGCCGCTTACAAGCTTTGACACAATTCTTTTTGGCATTTATAAAGTAGTTTTATGTCATTGACATGGCAAATTATTGATCAACGTGAGATTTCAATTTTCTTTCAAAGTTCTATTTGTATAATGACAAGCGCATATGAAAAGGCAAAGCCTTAAATACTATGCTGAAAATAAATGGTCGATATGTTTTATCTTGTAATGTGCCTTACTAGGCAAAGGATACTGAATGGCATTGATTCAGTGTAGGTGTGGGATAGACGCTGCTTTATTGCAAAAGGGAAGCCAGCAGGAGTTCTAACTGGACACTTAGAAGGCATAACATTCCTCGACAGCCATAGAGATGGTCGGTATTTTATTTCAAATGGTAAAGATCAGACTATCAAACTTTGGGATATTCGGAAAATGGCCCCTAATGCTAGGTATGCTATCTGCTGTCCTGCCCTTGAAATCCGTCTTTTATGTGTGAAAATGCTACCAAGTCTTTTATATGTGAAAATGCTACCAAGCATTGTCATGCACGTTGAAGTTTATCATCTTTAATATTTGCACCATACCATAACTTCTAACCATTCGGACTAACTATTGAGCATGATCATGGGCTAGCAGGGTTGTTAAGTTGAGTCAAATAAAAAATTGGCTTCTGCTGTTGTTGTAATATTGGTCTCATTGAGAACTTATTAGAGCATGCTAACAATAAATTGGATTCTGCCGTTGTTGTAATAGTGGTCTCATTGAGAACTTATTAGAGCATCCTAACAATACCATTCTTTTCTATTGTAGCTATTCAGGGATCAGGAATTATGAATGGGACTACAGGTGGATGGACTACCCATTTGAGGCAAGAGATTTGAAGCATCCCTGTGATCAATCAGTGGCCACATATAAAGGTCATTCGGTTCTGCGCACTCTTATTCGCTGCTACTTTTCTCCTGCATATAGGTGAGTTTTGACATATAATCTCTATACTTTTGTCATGATGAAAGTTTAGAAGCTCTTTTCAGATGCTAGTCCAAGAGTTCATTGAGAGCTACTTTTCATTTGATATGCTACCACCTGCATTTATTGTAGTTTCATCAGGCTTGAGCCATGTTTGTCTTGTTTCAACTGGCATGATGTTAGTTTACTGTTTGAAGGTGCTAATAGAAGTTCTAAAACTTAGAATTGACGTGCTTTCATTTCTTTGAATCACCTTTTGCAGTACTGGCCAGAAGTACATATACACCGGATCTCATGATTCTTGTGTTTATATTTATGACTTGGTAAGTAACAAATCTACTGCTACTTTTCCTTTCAAGGAGCATCAGTTTTTACAATAAAACCTAGTTATAAGTGAAGCATAGAATGAGCTACTCCTGAAATATCTATGCCTAGGATGGAAAGGCAGTCACCAGTTGGTGGAACTTTTAAGGGGCACTTTTTTGAAAATTTGAATTCATTCTGTACATGTTTTCATTGCTTGAACATACTATCGATAGATGATTTATTCAGCCAATCATCTAACGGATGTCATGCTACATTAATATTCAGCTACCAGCTGAACTGGGGTTCTGCTGGCTGCATCAATGCTGACCTCACGCAATCCAGATTCCAGTGTGTTTTTTCTTTGTCATTGACAAGTCCACACTTCCTATGATTATTAACTTGGAAATTTCATGCAGGTGACTGGAGCAGTAGTTGCATTACTGCAACACCATAAATCACCTGTAAGAGATTGTAGTTGGCACCCATATTATCCAATGCTTGTCAGCTCTTCTTGGGATGGAGATGTCGTTAAATGGGAGTTTCCTGGGAATGGAGAATCTCTAGTCCCTACAACCAAGAAGAGAGTTCGGAGGAGACAATTTTATTGAAAGCACACCTGCTGTAAATTTATGATACAACCCCGCCAATTGTGTACAGTCATGCTAATCTTAGCGAATGCCTTTTACCGATTTCACATGCCAAAAAATTTTATTCATTGGATTTGGGATTAACTAGTCAGGTCCACTAACTAGATGCACATCCAAAGCTTGAAATCTTTTGGGAAGTGAAATTTGGAAGGAATATTCGATAAGATTGGCATTATATCCAAGTAGATAGCGAATTTCTTCTTTTTCACGTTCAAATTGATGTATATTAGCGTGTAACTGAATTCTCGATTATTAGATCCACAATATTAAGTTGTCTATGAATAACCCACCAATGATGGGGATTTAAACCATTACGCATTCTATGAGGTTGAATAAAGTATTGTATTTTTGCTAAAGCGGGTGAATGGCAGGCGTGCATGCATGCGATTGCATCTGTTAGATCTTGTAATGTAGGTGATTCTCAAGAACAAACTAACCATTCTTTTAGTTAACAAGATCAGATAGTATTCTTCCAGGTTACAATTCATTAATTCATTCTATCAGTAGGAAAAATAAAATAAAAATACACCCTTCATTATGCATTATAAACACCCAATTAGCAAAATTCTTTGAAATCCATTTAGTACAGATGATCTTTTTGTAGTGTGGGTTTATGAGTTCTGACAGAGAATACCAACTGTAAAGAAAAAGGTGAGAAATTTGAAACTTCTTTCTACTCTTAAAGAAAGAATGAAAGACAAAGGCGAGCATTGCTCGGTTGGGAAAGCAAGAAAACTAATTTCTGAAATAACAGCCAAGCAATGTCTCATTCAATCATTGCGTCTGCTTCTCTTGATGTAGTACTGGTAGAGTTTATGGACCTTGAAGAGGGTCCATCTTCAGCAAAAATATCATCAGGAGGCTCATAGGATGGTGAGGAGACGACAACCATGGCCCATGCATAAATAATACTCAGATAAACGGCACTAACAATTGAATAATTGCTTAATCAATGAAGGGTTTTACTTATGAAATAATCTTGGGAAAGATAAAAGGAGTGATTGGGGATAGGGACCCTTTAAAAAGAGCAAAGGGGACACTAGATACGTGGGCCCCTACTTTGTTGCCTGAAAGAAGAATCAAAATCTAACTGAAGCCCATAATTGGTGAACTTTAAGTTAGCTTTCACTCTTGTTTTGCAATAAAGATACTAATAATAATAATCTATAGCAACGATCATCTTGAAAGAAGCTTAACAAAACCGAGTCATGCTATTTCACAAGGGAAAACAAGAATAGACTCTACGAAAAATTGCGAATCATGCAATTACACTATTAATGTGAAATTAATTATAGGTTCCCCTCGTATAATGATTTATAATTTTATTGTCATGTATTTTGAATATTTTTCTTATAAATAGACATTATCATTGTTTTTATTTTTATTTTTTGATAACTGAATGACATTATTGACATAAAATGGACTTCGTAGTACCCAAAACCCATGCATCTCTAGATATTCTCAGGGATTTTATTAACAATGAATTTTTTTTTTTTTTTTAGTTTTAAATGTGAGAATTATTGGGTACTCTTACATAAGAGTACTCAGATAAAAACAGAAATCCGTATTTAATCCAACCTGCTTGCTTTTAATTGGTTTTGAATGATGAAATGTCGCTTGGGGAGTTGGGGTTAGTTTTTTTTTTTTTTTTTATCTAATTTTGTAGTAATTGTCGTACTCTTCGTTTGATTAGGAAGCTAGATTTTCTAGTGAACTAAACGAATCCTAAGGATTGAGAAGAGTGACATGACACATGAACAGAGGAAAAAAGAAATGGTACAACATAAGAAAGATAAAAAGAAAAAGAAAAAAATTACTGGTTTGACCTACAGTTTCAAGAGTAGTTAACAAAAGAAATGCTTTTTGACTGAGTGTGAACATGGGACTCTCCAATTAAACCCAGACAACAAGTTAGTTACTAAGAAAAAGAGTGCCCTACCTAGATTGACCCCTTTCTCTCTGTCCTAATTTGTCTTTGTTTGCTCTGCAATCATGTGCCGTTTAGCTTTAAGATTATCCAATCTCACCTAACCTTTCTACCGTTGTCACCTGTCCCATGCCCTCTTTAACCAGAAAATGATGCGATCAGATTTTGTTTTGCCCACTCTCTTTTATTTTTGAAGATCTGGTAAATAAGCAACGTCATTCATTAGAAGTTTAATTTTTTTTTCCTCATTCAACGATTATAAGCATTTTCGAAGTAGTTTAAATCATGATAGAGTCTATGATGCAGATATTGGCACAATTCTTTTGTACAACAATCATTAAATTTGAATGATTATTAGATTTAAATTCAATAATGGAACAGACATGGGCATTTTCTCGTTCTCGAGCATTTAGCAACCGTTGAAATTAAAAATCCATGTAGCTGAAACGGTCTGAAGACGCATGAAAGCCAGAGACATCCAACTCCAAAGTCAGGGAATTTCACCCATCCATCTTTGCTTAAGATGAGCTGGACCCAAAATGATTTAACAGGCCCCGTGCATTTCAGAAGCTGAAAAGCCACGGGAACTTCAACATCATCTTAAAATTGCCACCTTTACCAGCATATAACCACTTCTCCTTAAAAATAAATAAATAAATAAATAAAGGAAAATAAAAAAAAGCATTATTGCAAAAAAAAAAAAAAAAGGTCATGTTTTTTAATGAATGGCTTGCCCGGATTACAAAATAACAAATTTAGTTGTTTTACGAATAAATTGGCAATATATATATATATATGAGAAACCTAAGTAAATGATAAATTAGCCCATCTAGTTTTTCAAAATAAATTAATTTGTATTTTTAGATTTAAAAACGAATTAATTAATTTCTAATTTTTTAAATTTGTCCATATTTTTAATCATTTTCAGTCTCTATTTTAATAAATAGAAAAAAATAAGTAAAAAAATGAAAGGCTTGACGAGAAAGAAAAATATTTTTAAAACCAAATAATATTAAATTAAGAATCATCAACATTCGTCAATAAATTAATTGATTAGTTTGTAAAATCAAAAAATTAATTTATAATTTATTCCAGTAAATGCTTATGGCATTGGAAAACACCAAAAAAAGAGAGGGAGAGAGAGACTGATAAGAGCATCCATCAGGCGATAGAGTGCCTTTTCTTTTTGTTATATAAGGCCACAGGGTACTAAGACATCTCAAGAAAAGTGGCAATGATTGAGAAAAAGAATGCCACAATAAAAAAATTACTTAAAATTTTGTGTTTTGCTCTAAATAACTTTTTTTTTTCTCTTTTTTATAGTGCTTTTTATACCTTGCTTATTGTGCTAAAATTAACTATGCTCCAAGGAAGCATTTCCAGCAAGCATGATTTCCCAACATCGTCAAATCACACCGGTTTTTTTGGGAACTTTTTTGCTACGATATAAACCATCCAGTTGGTTAAAATGAACAGTAGTTTCTATACAGTCATTTCAATTAGATTTTAATCTGCTAAGAATATCTCTTAATCATTTACAAGATATAAGAAAAATAAAAAATCAATTAGAGTTTTACGGCAACAACAAAACCTACAATCTTTTTCACCTTTCATTTAAGATAAGAAACAGAGAAAGAAAACATTCTACTATGGTTTATATATGAATGCAAAATTATCAATAGGACAAGCCAACCCAATCTTCCTAAATAATCCTATACATAAAATAAAATGATAACATAATAAATCATGACCATAAGTAAAAAATAACTACAATTTCAGGAAGTATCCACAGTCTTCTTATTATTAATCCATCATTTACCCTCATAAAAATTAACGAATCAAAAACCCAGCCCCAAAAAATATAAATATAAATAACCAAGCTCAAAATATATTAAGCCGTCTGTATGAATCTTCTTCCCGTTTTGCCCCCATCACATCCAAAGAATTACCCCCTCCATTCGTTGCACTGTGCAGTAGGCCTAGTCTTCTGCTTGCCAGCCTTCAACGGGCAGGGAGTCTGTACGGGCGGTACCATACAGTTATACTGCAAACACAGTGAACTGCTCAAAGGAATTTCAACCGTTGGATTAATCTGTATTCCCGTTAAGTAATTATGCTGCAAATACAGAACTTGGATACTCGCTTCCATTAACCGGTCCACAAAACTACCCGGAACCTGCCCTGTGAACCGGTTATTATTCAGGTACAGGTTCTGTACGGTTGAGAACATGGCCGATATTCCACCCGACAATCTGTTGTAGCTAAGATCAACAGTTGGTATTGTCACCTGACCACCCGGTTGAACCGGACCGGAAAATGAATTTCTCTGCAATTGAAGGTTGGTTATTGGGAATGTGAAAATACGGCTTGGAATGTAACCCGAGAATTGGTTCATACTCAGGTCCAGATAGTTTAACCGGTCGAGCCGGTTCAATAACAGGTCGACTGGACCGGTAAGGCGGTTCCCGGAAAGAGAAAGGTATTGGACCGAAGGAGGGAGGGAGGTTGGCGAAATAGAACCAGAGAGATCGTTGTGTTTCAACTCGAGTCGGGTCAGGGTTTCTGAGAGAAATGGTGGGACCGAACCAGAGAGGCGGTTGTGGCTGAGAATGACGTTGGAGAGCCCTGGTATGGTACCGATAGAATGAGGGATATCTCCGGTGAGCTGATTGTAGCTGAGATCAAGTGTTTTGAGGTTGCGTAACTGGCCTAGAGTTGCCGGTATTCCGCCGGAGAGGAAGTTCCGGCTGATAGCTAGAAAGCGAAGGTCTTTTAATTGGGAGATTGATTGCGGGAGAGAACCCATTATTCGACCTGGAACGACAGAGAGTTCAGTCACAGCAGAGAGCTTGCCGATGGCAGGGTCGAGGCGGCCTATTAGACCAGGAGAGCCTGCACGGGGATCACCCAAGTTGAGAGCGATCACCCGGTCTGATTCACAATACACTCCAGCGAAGTTACAAGGATCAGAAGTGAAGTCCCATGAAGCAAAGAAGTTGGAACCAGGCATGTCGTCTAAAGATTTTCTAACGGATTGTAGAGCTAAGAAATCAAGTGGGTCTAAAATACAATGCACAAAAAACAATTTACATTGAAGAAGATAGACAAAAAACAAAATGGAAGAGCATGATCTTACTGGGTGCATTGTCATTTGATCTTGACGTGAAGAAAGAGAGATATTGAGAGCAGAAGTTGATGGGGTTTTGTTATATAGAGAAGAGAGCAGTAGTAGTGAGGTTTTGAGGTGATGATGAAAAGGCTTTTCCGTGAAAGAAGACTACCTATTTCTCGTGGGAAATGGCGTGAAAGCTTTAATGGCAAAACTATCAGCATCAAAAAAAGATAACAAGATTTAGAAAGAGAGAATAAAAGAATCAAGAATGGCTGGCTTTTAAGAGAAGCAACAAAATTGATGAATCTTGCTGTTGAATCTTCTTCTGTTCTTCTCTCTCAATGAGTAAGCTTTTTCATTATTTTGGCTTCTCAGAGAAGATGCAAAAATGTACTACTGGCTTGCTAACAGCTCTCTACTGTGTTTTGTGTCTCAGCTGCTACAAAGGATTATTTATTATTATTATTATTATTATTACTGATTGTTTCTTATTTTAGTTAATGTTGTAGTTTTTTTGTTTGTTTATGGGTTTAGGTTCGGGTTTAAACGGTTGTCCGAGCCTACGTGGGAGGTCAAAGTCACTAGGTTTGGAAAAGGGTGGTTCGGATGGATATCACGTGACAGAGAGGTTGATGCCCCCTGGAAAAGAGAAGGAGCAAGTGAATTGCTTTTTAGGTTAGAGTGGACAATGGGGGCATGTAATAAATATCACCTGCTTGGACGGTTGACACGTCAACTTGGAGTTGCGGAAGTAAATAAAAAGAAGGTGACTTCTAAAGTACACAGGAAACTAGCGTGGCTTGCGGGAGGAGGTGGCTGCCAGCTGTCAGTGTCCATCGTCTACCTGTCCTTTTGTGCACCATGGACTCCATCCTCTACCTCAAGTAATGCTAGGTTAGTGTCTTGCATTATCCTAATTCTAATTTTCTGGTTTGGTAATTAAAGAGATGTGCTTTAATTTTTAATTTTTCAAGTTTAAATTTTATGGTAAGCGTTTGGAATAATTTATTTTCTTTAAAATGCTCTAGACTGATATAGAAAGTATACTTTGAAAATTATTTAAAAAAAACTTGTTAATGAATTTTACGAGATAAAAGATTTGCATTGATTTAAAATAAATAATTTGTAGATTGAGAAAAACACTACTCGATAATAATTGTGAAGTTTTAATTTAATAATAAAAAAATCATTTTAATAAGTGTTAGCATCTATATCATTACTTAAAAAGAAAAATACTGAAATTCGTCATTGTGCAATATTATTCCTGATCTGATTTAAAACAAATGGACCAAAAGTAATTTACAATATTATTGATTTAAAACAAATTTGATTCAATGTAGTTTAACAAATTTCAATGTTTAAGTTTATTAAATAGAGAATAAGATCATGCTTGGTATGATTTTTACAATTTGATTTAATTTTTTTTTTAATTTTTAATTAAAAAATGATAAATATTCTTGGTTGGAAATAGTTTTTAACTTAAATAAAAAATTTGTTACAAAATTTTGATTTAATCAAAAGTTAAAATTTCTATATACTACTTTCCTGTTTGAAAAAGCTATTTTGAGTTAGTTTTACCAAATAGTTTTTGAATTATAACTCAAAATCAAAATTCATGCCACACCTGCTCTAAAAATTGTCCATCTTCCATGAACTTTTGATAAATTTAGATTTTATCCCTCAGCTTTATTCAAATTCAAGCTTGACCTTAATTTCATGAACTATGTTCGTTTGAAATTAAGTCTTTTTCGTTAGTTTTCCGTACACTAATAAATACAGTGACTGGATTAGATATGTTAACCTTTGTTAAATTTGGGACGAATTCAATACATTTTTCAAATAAAGGGACTGAATTAAATTTTTATTGCAATTTTCACCTAAAAAAAGCACCCGTTTTCAGCTTAAAAAACCTACCTTGAACAACCACCAAGACAGGCTCCCTAGCTTCCCACATATAGATACAAAAAGAACGCATTCTTAAAGCATCAATCAACTTAAAATTAAGTCAAAAATCAAAACCAGTAAGTCAACAAAGGACGTGAACTTAAGAACCAATAGGATCAATTTACTCAATTATCTGAATGAGATAGCATTATCTTATAATTACCAAGTCATTCTTTATTGTCAAGTGACTGAACCAAAACTGACCATTTTTAAAGACATTAATCAAATTTAAGACTGTACCCTTAATTTGTCCTTAATTTTTTTTATATTCATAGTCTGTTCTTGCTTATTCCATACAATATGATGCATGCTCTTTCAACAGAAATCGCTAAAAATTAAGACGTATATTTTTTTCTTGGAGTAAAAATCCTTGTGCAATGCAATTAAGGATACGTACAGACAGCTGATCACTGTGTTGCTTCCTTGGGGCCGAGGGAAGAAAAGAGATGAGCACAACTTTCCATGAAAAAATCTGAATAAAATGTTGCATCTATCAAGTTAAAAGCGCAAAAGAAGCAGGTGATAAACTATGTATTGTAAAAGAATATTGTCTTCACAGTTACATCCCCATCCGCGTGGTGTATTTCTTTCGTGGACGCAAGGGAAGATATAGGAATTGCAACCCAATAAATGCAATAAAAGTGGGATATAGGACAAAGTTGAATCTCAATTTTCTCATACGTAAAATGTAATATCAGCCACTGGAAGATCCATCCCTATCGTTCTTGAATTGCCAGCCAGGAAATGCAGTCCATGTTAAGTCAAAGAAAAGGCTGGACAAAATGTCGAAGACAGGATTGCGAAACATTCTTAGTAAGAGTACATTCACATCCACATATTTGTCCGTCAAAAAAAGAGTATGTATATATAATTATGATAATATTTTCTCAATTTTTTTTTATTTTCCTGTGCAAGAAATTAAAACTTGTTGGATAAATTTCCTGTTTTCTTCTGCCAATCGCAAAGTCGACGTCCTAGAAGACCAGAAAAAAAAAAAAAAAAGTGGGACAACTAATACTAATGGCATACATCTACTGCCGTATATGAAGCTAGAAAGTACTCGCACAAGGAATGTAATTAATGCAAAAACATTATCGTATATTTATAAATCTATTCTTGAATTAAAAAATAAACACAAAAAAGTAAATAATAATAATAATAATAATAATAATAATAATAACATTAGCATTCACAAAAAATAATAAGAATATTTTTATCTCGATTCAAATTTTTAATTTAAATTTTCTCCTCATTTTACTTTTCCCTTTGTATCTATTTTTTTTTCCCATAAAATAAGTATTTTCTAGTTACTTTTTAAGTAACATAAACATTATTTGTGTTAAGATGTGTTCTGTTTAATATTTTCCATTCTTAGCAGAATCCTATCTCTTATCAGTTTTGAAAAAGAAAAAAAAAGAAAGAGAGTTAATTTTGATAATTATGTTATATGACAAACACAATACTAAGAAGCATATGCAATATTTCCCTTCCTAAAGTTTTTTTTTGCTTTTTCCTCTCAAATAAACACATATTCATAATAAAGATATTTCGCTTATGAAATGATTTATGATTTAAATTGTGTTGAGTAAGTTTGAAGTGTATTAATTTGAAATTGATCATCATCAAAATACATTTGGAGTAAAATAATAATAATAATAATAAATTTGATAATTGTTAAGTCTAAATATATTTTTATAAAAGCACTACAGTATTATCAAACATGCACTCAATCTTTAATCTGTACTAGCTAGTACATATCTTCATCATTATTATTAACCCTGTTATGCTCAATTAAGAAGCAATGTGTGGCAAATGTAGAATTGGCTTATGATTAATTAAGCATGATCTAGGCAGGATATATCCAGGCAGCCCAGCAACCCAAGTCTCTCACAATCGGGTCCACCGAGTTAAATTTGTATTGGGATGCGTGAGGCTGAGTGCACCAAACCCAACTAACCAAAATACCCACTATCGGTCATCATATGCATGTGCGGTCTTCCCATTCTGGAGGCAAGAGGAGTTAGCTTTTGGATTTGCACTCTTGCTTCCATTATCAGCATACGTAGACTCATGTATCCTTCCCTGTGCTGTCTCTGTCCTCCAGCTACGCCATTTTCATCATCACTACACTTTTTTCTTTTTTTGCGTACATTGTTATATCCATGAGTGGATGTCAATGGCAAATGCAGGCAAAACTAGCCAAATTAAACTTCTGAGAGAGGAAAAGAAGAAATGATAGCACATCATGAACAAACTAAGCAGAAATAAAATGATGCTGCTAATGAAATTAATTAAAACCGTGCACCAAGCATAAAAATAGCATGATTTTTTAACTAATTAACTTGTAATTATTAGGAATAGCAACAACGAATGCGTATAATTAATGCATGCACAAATGGATCCGTTTATTTTTTCTCTTAATTGTGATATAAATTTATGGGTCCTATTTAAATCTTGCAGAAGTGATCTCCAGCATACATAAAAGACAATGATTCATTCCTTCATTGATGATGAAGATGGGAATTGGGCTTCAAGACATCCCTAATAATATTTTTATTTAATTCCACGCAAAGGTACGTCGAACAATCAATTCCCACATTCATTTCTTGCCTTTGCCTGCAAAATGAGCTACAACTACCCAAAGTTACTGGTGATTTGTGTCCTCAACTGACTTCTTTTAAGAAGTTGAGAATTCCAATAGTCACCCCATGCTAGAGGAATGATCTTCTCATGTGCACAAAGGATAGGACTTGATTGCCTCGCATACGTACCCATGTGATTTTGTTTTCGGGAAAATTGAATTCAGCCTAGTAACTCCCTTAACTAGAAGCGACATAAGCAGTTGCTGTGCTTTACCAATATATACCCACCACATGAATCGCAAATGATAGCTTGGTCTGGTCCTCTTGCATGCATGGAGTGTGTATATATATTACTGCGACGTTCGTGAGTATTGTATCACTACAAGAAAATGAAGAAATAACGATTAATTTTTTTATTGTTACATATATATATATATATATATATATATTTAGCGACGAATTTACAACAACAAACGTATATATATACTAATAATGGAAATTATTAAAATTCATTTTTTTAATTATTGAAACAAGCTATATGCCATATGCGATGCTTGTTTAAGATGCATAAAAAAAAGAAAAAAAGATATTTCAGTAATTGAAAAATAGTTCAAAAGATATAATTGCCCCTCAGCAATAATTCATATGTCAAATTGAGTCACTCAAAAAATCACAATCGAATCCCAATTTATTATTATTATTATTATCGTTATGGTTGTTGTCGTTTTATTCAATGACAAAATCAACAACAGTGCAACAAGCCCACAACTCGCAAACTTCATGGCACGAAAGTTCATAGAAAAGACACAATGGCGTTTGTGTAAATAGTGTTTGCGTAAATACATTCAGCTTCGTAGTTGTTATTATTATTATTATTATTATTGTGTCTATTCAGTATTCGTGACTTCAAGCATTTTAACAAAATAAATCCGACCTACACTTTAAACTAAATCGTAACAGTAAGCATAAAAAATATTTTAAGCGATAGATTTTATCATCAGTTTCTTCTCTCAAAATCTTTTTTTCTTTTAAGGATGAGAAATCGATTTTAATAATTTAAAGAGTAGTTATTACAGTATCAATCTGACAAATTAAACCTCTATGCTAATTTTCATAGAAAGAACTTATATATATATATATATACATATATATATATATATATACCCAAAGTCACACTTATCATCATGGATTTTTAATCCATTTTCATTTAATTTTCTTGTAGGCAATTTCAAGTGAAAAAACTTGAAACCATAAACTTTATAAGTAATTATAATTAAACTTGGATTAGAGAAAAAACAAATTCGTTGTTAATACCAATTATGTATAGATAAGATGCATAATTTGGATTTTCACAGTGATATTCTGGTCCTTTTGCATGCATATAGTATGTATGTGTGTATATATATATATATTATTATGAGGTTAGTGAGTATTGTATTACTACAAGAAAATCAAAAAATAACAATTGATTTTTTCATTGTCATATAATAAAAATTTGCCGCTATACATATTTAGTGACAAGTTGTATGTATAGTGACAAATTTACAACAATAAACATTCAGTAATAAAAGTCTTTGTAGCTATTTTTTTATTAATGAAAAATCTTTTTATTGTTTTATAACCTAACAGTGGAAATTAAAATTCAAACATTTTTTTATTGAAACAGGTTACTAGACATAAAAACTATATGCCATATGCGATGCTTGTTTAAGATGCATAAAAAAATTAAGATATTCAGTAATTGAAAAATAGTTCAGAAGGCATATATAATTGGCCCTCAACAATAATTCATATGTCAAATTGAGTCACTCACAAACAAATCCCAATTTTTTTCTTTTTTTTTCTAATTATTATTATATCATTATGGTTGTTGTCGTTTTATTCAATGACAAAATCAACAACAGTGCAACGAGCCCACAACTCGCAAACTTCATGGCACGAAAGTTCATAAAAAAGACACAATGGCGTTTGTGTAAATAGAGTTTGTGTAAATACATTCAGCTTCGTGGTTATTTTATTTTATTTTATTTTGTCTATTCATTATTCGTGACTTGAAGTATTTTTCCCAAAATAAATCCTATCTACACTTTAAATTAAATCGTAACAGTAAGCATAAATATTTTAAACGATAGATTTTATCATCACTTCTCTCAAAATCTTTTTTTTTTTTTGGGATGAGAAATTGATTTTAATAATTTAAAGAGTAGTTATAACAGTATTAATATGACAAATTAAACATCTATACTAATTTTGATAGGTAGAACCTATATATATATATATACCCAAAATTAAACTTATCATCATGTATTTTTAATCCATTTTCATTTAATTTTCTTGTAGGCAATTTCAAGAGAGAACTTGAAACCATAAACTTTGTAAGTAATTATTAATCTCAATTAAACTTGGATTAGAGGAAAAAAAAACAAATTCGTCGTTAACGCCAATTATACATAGATAAGGTGCATATTTGGGATTTTCAGAGTGATATAAAATTCACGTATTGATTTGGTAGACAAAAATCAAATATTTCATGACTTTCTTTCCGAAGCTGGCAGAATTTTTTAACGGGTAGATATATAAGTTGGAGTGGTTTCGTTGGGTAGTATTTGATGAATTGGGGATCCAATGGAGATTTTCATTTTTTGGAGTGAACCGACATGAATTATAGCTGGCTGCCTGTAGATGTATGGCAATAACCAACTTGGTGCAGAACAATTTGTTAACCTAATAGTTTCGTAAATATTGATTACTTGTTTTGTCATATGTCTAGATATTGCTCTCCAATTTCATACAGCGTCTCAATGTTCATCCACTGAGGAACATCCGGCCTTCTGAAGTTCTTTCCCTTGCAACTTGCAAGAGCTTGATTCCTTGCATGAACGGAATTGAATTGGGCCAAGTAAATTACCTCTAGGTTAATCCGGTGTGCGAGGAATTGAAGTATTACCTCGACATGTTAAGCTGACATCAACCCATAGCTTGGTCCTAGATCCAATTCTTCTTTCGGAGAATTTGTACTGCCGGCTTCTATACAATTATTATTGGACTTCTAACTTTAGCACTCGATATCCATTCTTTTGTGTTCGTCCCTCCTAGTATAACCTTCTTGGGATCAGCTTTAACTGTTTTGCTAACTGCGTCCTAATCGTCAGCAAAAGCTTTATAATGGTAGTTTCTGCCCAAGGAACCATAACAATATCTTCAGTGTCAACAACCCACTGTCCACGGCGACAGACATCTTTCAATAACTGCACATGACCAAGAAACCCTACTGACCAGGATGCTTCTTCTCCATAAGAAACTTTGGGACCATTTCTCCTCAATTGCAGGCTTTTAGAGGAGGCGGAGTACCACATTTTCCAGACACCACAAGCCCATCCTTTGGTCACCCTAACCCTGGGACGATGTTGCCTAAGGTTATTCTTGACAACTGCATCAGAATTGACGTCTGGCCAGTTGACTGAAGGCTTATCTGAGTTTCAACTTGTCTTCTTATCTGATCTAAGAACACAACATTGAACGGGGAAATGCCCTCGTAAATATGCATAATTGCATGCATGGTCCTGCAAGACTAGCATTCATTTAGCTGGTGATTCATACATACAAAATGCGATCATTTCTCTGACAATAGCTAACAGCATTTCAAACACCATGCGGTAATCAAGCCAGTGTGGGGCTATGCTCTGAAAGGATAGTATTTCCATGGAAACATTATTTCTTTACAGAAATTCATCTGCTACATTGCATCTAATGGCTTCGACATTTTTACACTACACTAATTTTCTAAAGCATGATGTGCTCATGTGCCTAGATAAATAAGAAGACTAGCATTCTCGTCAGATAAATGTAAATTCAGACCACTGAAAAACAAACAAAACATACACTTCCCAGCATCAGCTGTAGAAATGCTCTTTCACCGTTACTCCACATACAAATTCTCAAGTGAAAGTTGCTTGAAGCCTTGAAATTATTCTAGGACAAAATGAACATCTGAAACATTAACCTTCCCACTTTCTGCTTCTGGTAACAAGTAGGGTTAACAATACTTATTGCATGGTAGGAATTGATCCTCCAGCAGTGACAATCTGTTGCTCCAGCTACAGAGGCCAACAAACGGGAGCCAAAAATGAATACTAACATCAAGATAAAAAAATTACTGATATTAAAACAAATTCAGATACTGAACAAGTAAGTTGTTTTAGTGTTTCTTGATCACCAAAAGGATGACAAAATAGTAAAGAAAACTCTCCCTGCAATTTCTTTTTTACAACACAAGATCAGGAAGTGGAAGTTAAATAAAATGAAGGTTTAACAAGCTACAACAGACAGAAAGGATTTTATTGAAACAGTTGAAGCAATTTTTTTCAAGGCACGTAGAGCAATAAGCTTCTTATCTGTCATATAAAAGAATGAAATATATGGTTGGAATCCTTTCTTCGATCATCAAATCCTTCGTAGGAAACTAACAACTACCTTGAACTTACCTGGAATAAGGTTTGAAGATTGTTCTTCAATTGAATGCACTCATGATTCACTTGTTGGAGGCACCTCACACACCTGCACCAACAATTTCTAATCCATCAAAATCATAGACTTGAATGAAAGCACAAAACTAGATGATTAATATGCAAGAAGATCCACATGACTATTCTTAATATCATCACATCAGTAATCAGACTCCAGTGCCAAATGCTCAGAAACTTAGACGGAATGATGCTGTAATTTCAATCAATAAAAAAAAAGCCACATAGGATTAAACCGATAATTAGCATAGCATTCAAAAAAAATAACTAAGAGTTTACATACACTAGCTTCCATCCAAATTTTACAATTAAGAGGATCAGACTAGGAAACCCACCCACCGTGATCAAATGACATGTAAATTTCAGAAAAAAAGTTTAATTTGATTTTGCACCTAAACCTTTTGTGATTTCAAGTAAATCAGCATACTTAGTCGAGAGTTTTATAATAGTCAAACTTCCAAGTGCAATTGGGAAAATGTTAAGGACATGCAATATAATTGTGAAGAGAAGCTCACCCTTCACGGTTTTGGGCTTCACTATAAGTCTTGAAGGCAATGCAGATATTTTTAATTCTTGCTGCACCAATGCTGTTAACCATACAAAGGAATGCTATAAACAAACAAGAAAGCAAACAAGTAATGAAAGACAAAAAAATGACGTAAGTTTCAAAATAACCCTAGATTATACTATTATTAATGCAGCAAATGGAATCAATAAACATCTGTGTGCGATCCTGGAAATGACTAGAGCCCAAATTTAACAAATCAAACATCCAATCAAGAAATGAGTCCGGAAGCTACCTGGAACTACTACCCTTCAATTGATGAACATGAGAATCTACCTGCTTGAAATCTACAATCTGCTGTTCTCTGACGTAAAAGAAATAACCCAAAATAAACAATTTTGGAATCAAACAAAGTAGATATATAAAGAAATCCAAGACAATAAAAACAAAGGTTAAGGGAAAACACACTCACAAAGCTTTGGCCATATTGTTAACGAGCTTCTCACAATCTTCAAAGAAAAGAGACACAACTTCCACCACAAAACCAGGACTGCTCTTATCTTGCAGCTTCTTCAACCCAGTAAACTGATCGTCCACAAAACCCTTCTCAAAACCAACAAAGACCCATTATTTTTAAAAACGGTATATGACCCAAGAAGCTTATTCTAATAAACTTAAGCTTCATCCCATTTTGTATTCTTAAGAAATTAAAAAAAAAAAAAATGAATTCTTTTTCGTATCCTAAATATCAGATTTTCCCGGAAACACTTTCCATAGAAACAAACAGGAGGCTTAAAAATGAACAACAGATTACACTTCAAAAACCTAATAAAACAGAAAGAGAGATATATGTACTGACCTCCCGGTAGAGAGAAGCTGAGAAATCAGCAATCTGTTTCTGCAACTGACTCAGAAGATCCATGGATTTGGGTTTTCAATGAGAAAACACTAGATATTTATATATGCTTACAGGGACCGGGAGTAGCTGACAGTACTAAAATCAATCAATCAAACAGTACAGCATTCCTTTTTGGCTTTGCCTAAAATAGCTCAGTAAAATGACTTCTAGGAAATGTTCACTTCCCAGGAAACTCACTAATGACTTGCCCAAACTGGGACAGAAACAGGATTCTCCAAGTGGAGGAGTCATTCAACTTTGTTTTCTGAGATAACACCCACGCCTAAAGATTGGATTACATTAAAGAAAAAATGAAAATCTAATCTTTGCATTACCAACACATGCCGCGTCTTGTGACGGTTGGCTCAACCCAGGTGAAATGTTGCCCCTTTTGGCCACTTATTTTATAGTTTCTGTCCCACAAAAGGCACTGATGGGTTTGTGATCTTGACAATCCTTCTAGACCTGAGATCACGTTTGTCAGATTGTGCCTAAAATTGACATCAAAATACAAACCTTCCACCAGCAAATTTATCCCTCAATTATCATTAGATTCTCGATTTCATCCAGAACCGAATCATGGTATCAATTTCGTGCCAAATCTATTTAAATTTAGACATATTGTCTCTCCAAGTAGAAAAATGTTTTAAGCTTTGGAAGAGCAATATGGTCTAATTTCAAATAGTTTTTGGATGAAATTGATAGATTTAATTGTTTTGTACTGAAATCGAGAATTATTTAATACTTAGGGATGAAAATGAGGCTCCTCTATTCATAAAACGCTCAATAAAATGCCACCTTCTTAATGTTTCATCGTTGCAGTCAATTCACCTTTCCATACTCTCCTCAATATGATTGGAAGAAAAAGCCCAATAATTTACTTGCCATCTTGCCTAATGGTTACCTCACCCAAATCTGAACCAAGAGCACGCTCTTAAAAAGAATGTTCTACATTCACTCCACCAGAACGTAAGGATGTATAAATTACTTTTTGTAAAAATCAATTTTAAAGCATAAATATATTAACTTGAACAATCTATCTAACTACGAACAAATTCAAATCATATCACCTTTGCATTCATATTCCAACCAAACTAAACTTAGAGAACTCGAATACTTAAACCTGGAAGAAAGGGGCAAAAAAAACAGACCGCTGTGAACGTGTCGGGTCTATCAGAATAAGTTGGGTCGCCATATCCGAAATTGGGTGATTTGATGGACTGCAGCCCTTGTTTGGGCTAAACCAAATTAGCCTGTTTGTTCTTTAATGGGCTACATTTTCAATGGTGGTTACGTGGCTGTTAAATAATGACGATTTTGCGCCGAATGATTTTTTCCTTTTTTTTTTCTTTTCTCGTCACACCATGTAACAAAAACAAACAAAACTAGACCTGCCGACTGATTTATGGTTTCAATCACAAAAAATATATGAATGCGCATAGAGAAAAAGAATAATAACCTCTTTTTTTTAATGGAACAGAATTGAAACTTTCAAGTATAGACTAAACAGTTACATATTTAATAGGTTTTTCTTTTATAAAATAAGTTTCAATTTTATTAATTTTAATTAATTTAATTATTATATAATAAAAAGAACTAAGTTCTATTAAGTAGCTCAAAATTCAACAAATCTCCTAATCAACCATAAAAAAACCAAAAAACATAAGTTACAAAAAATTTTATGGAGATACAATCTGCAACCATACACAAAGTGATCCCACGTACCAAATAGTTCCATATAGGATATAGGAACACAAATCCAAATCTGATGCTTAGGATTAAACTTCAAACTTCGCCACCATCCCAAAGCAAATATCTCCATCTGCAAACCGTACAGAAGGGGAAAAACAATTGGAACAAATGGGTCAGATGGGCCGACAGAGTAAATTTGAAGGGCTTCCGCGGGCTCAAAATCATAAATAACAGAAAAAAGCGTGCAAACAATTCGGCAACAAATTGCAATTCCGTACTATGATTCTTTTATGTACATACGTCTTGATAGGTTTTAGGATTTTTTACTGTACACATAAGCTGGAAAACGATGCCATCCTTTCTCCTTTTGTTCCAAAACGTTCTCTCTTGATGTTTTCCCTTTATATACATAAGTTTAGAAACATTGTCATTCCTTTGTTTCATAAAACCCCTCTTCTTCCCTTTCCACCTCTGATATGCTGTTTGGCTGCTCTCTCATTTGATTTCACATGTGAGCATGGGTTGGTGCAAAATTTGAAGAGGCCAAGACCATATCCTTGATTTCATAGAAAATCCATGAAATCTGAAGTTTGAACGCCCAAGTGGCCAAGACTTGCTTCATCAGAACTGCAGAAGGAGACATGGATAAGTTGTGATCGATCTCAAAATCCAAATCAACCTGTCAGGTCAATTGAGATGTCTGCTGTTGGGTGAGTTATACTCTGCGCCAAGGAGTTCTTCATTACGGAAAGCTTTTCGAAAGAATGGCAATCTGCTTTTTTTAAAACTCTTCAGGCAGCTAAGGTTACCATTCAGAAGCTGGACAACCTGCCATCCAATGTTCAAACGCAAATCAACTTTTTTGTAGTCATCTTATGCCAATAATTCAAGTGTAGACTTTCTGAACAATACACCCTACAGTAAGTGTTTAACCATAATAAGATTCCAAGCCACCATGCTGATAGACAAATCAGACTGACAAAAAACTTGAAGAGACAAGATTTTTTAATGTTATACCATTTGAATCCTACTTGGATATCTATCTGACAACATGTAAGGTACAGTGGATTAGTGATTAGTAACTAATAGGGACAGTAACAGATGATCTTGACTTTCTAAGAACAGGGCACACCTGAATCATGAGAGGCCGCCGTATTGAAGATTGCTGTATGCATAGAGAAGCAGCCAAGAGCACAAGATTCATTTGTCGAGCATTATAATCATCAACAAGAGCAGGATCAACTAGCTCTCTAATCTCATTGTTCTTGAGCAATGGTTTTGCCTAAAGAGTAGGAAAGAAAAAAAAAACAAACAAAAATCAGTGCATAGTTACCACCCTCTCAACATAATATAGTAGTTCATTGTGAGTGCTTGCCTGTATACAAGCAAGAAAGGAACCTGAAAATCATACCCACAAGACAAGGCTTTGCTGCGAGTAATCCAGAGCTCGCCGCCCTGTGACTAGTTCCAATAGCAGTACACCAAAGGCAAAAACATCCGTTTTTTCATCTACTATTCCATGCATCAAGTATTCCGGAGCCAGATAGCTGTGACATTGAGAAGTAGAAGTAATAATTTCAAACAGTCAAATATTGAATAGAAACAGTAAAAAATGGAAATAATTCTCAGCTTTACAAACCCGAATGTGCCTTCAAATTTGGAAACAGTGTGGTGAGTCCAATGCTCCGGTAGCCACTTAGCGAGACCAAAATCACAAATCTGAAATAAAATTTAGTTAAGACTGCTTCTTTTTCACTGACAAACACTATTTATTATTAATCTAGAAAGGAAAGTAAGAATAATTAAAAAATTTACTGCCTGATACCTGAGGCTCAAAGTCCTCTGTAAGCAAAATGTTAGCAGCCTTAATATCTCTATGTATTATTCTTCTTTGGCAACCCTCATGAAGATATAGTAAACCATGAGCCGTCCCTAATGCAACCTTATGCCTGATATGCCATGTCAATCTCTCTTTTGAACCTATAAAATTTAGCACTTGTAAGAAAACGAAAAGCTTTTCAAAACTGAGAACCTGGAATTCATGAACTAACCGTAAAGCACAGAAGCTAAGCTCCCAAGTGGAGACAATTCAAGAACAAGGTGCATTCCTCCTTCAACTCCATAGCCAATCAACTTAGCTGTATTAGGATGGTCCACATGGGCCATAATCCCCATCTCGGATAAAAAGTCCCCAATAATCTCATCAACTGTTCCTCGTGTTAGCCGTTTAATTGCTACAATTTTCCCATTTTGCAAACACCCTTTGTAAACTTCGGCATAACCGCCTTTTCCAATCAGATTTTCTACACACAAAAAACTAAACTTCGTAAGCAGTTCATATTATTATCGAACAAATACTACCACATTTCTGAAAATTGAGCCATGTTTACACTCCAAGAGTGTGTTTTGCATGTGTGGCTGAACAATCTTATCTATTCCTGTTCAATTCTGTTTGCTAACCAAGTACATCTCAAGTATCTTGCTTAGAAGGGAAACAAGGAAGGACATGAAATGGAAAGCATCAAACAACAGAATACAAACCTTGGTTGAAATTGTTGGTTGCAGCTTGGAGCTCAGAGAGTGCGAAGTTGATCCTTGGAGACTTAAAATTGCCTGAATCAGCATTAGAAAAGAGAGTCGTTATAATGCTCTCTCTCATACTATTGCTCTTTCTCATAGAGAGCTTTAGGACACTGAGAGGATGCAATGTTCCTATAGGATTCTTCGATCTGCTTCTAAATAATTTGACAAATCCTTGCCAACGAGAAGCGGGCTTCGAAACTTTTTGAGCAGCCTCATCCGATGTGGGTTCTTTTGAAGAACAACTTTCTGATTCTTCACTCTTAAAGTAGTCTTCAAGAACTCCGACCGGAGAGCTTGTATCCACCTTTTTCTCCATATATATCTTAAACATGTGATTATTTAGTATATTGCAATATAGAGATGTAGATTTGAGAGGCAAGAAGTGTAATGGTAGAGATGTTACCTCGAGCAGGAAGGAGCAGAGAGAGAGCGAAAACAGAGTATTGGGTTTTGCTTTATCCACTAGCTAATAACAGCTGACTTACCAAGGGTGTTTTCCCTGATGAGAACAAATCATGAGAAGAAAGACGGGAAAATATAGAATATGAAAGGAAAAGAAGGTAAAACGGAGGCCTAGCGTAAGTGAAAAGGAATGGCAACAAAAGAAGATATGTCAGACAAGGATGACAGGACCATAGGAGTCTGTTACAAGAGAGACAACAGAAAAGCAATTAGCTATAACTAGTAAAAACTTGAAACAGACAAGAGCAAAGAGATGCTTCAACTAAAAACCAAATTTTACCCAGAGAGAGAAGGGAAGGGAAGGGACCCAAGAATAAAAGTAGTTGGAAGAAGAGAGAAAAGAAACTGAATCCATAAATAAATAAAAATATCAAATACTAGCTAGGAGACATATATGTCTATTATCTGAAAGAAGAAGAATAAATGGAGAGAGACAGGCAGGGGATTCGTGGACATACCATTCCAGTAGAATCCGACTCTTTCTCAGAGAGATTAGCTGACAACGTAGCATCAAAGCAGAGGAAGGACAGAGAGAGGCAAGAGGTGTTGTTAAAATTCCCAGTCACTCTTTAAAACCTGTCGTCTGAATTCTTTTTTTATTATTCTTATTCTCACTTTTTTATATATATATAATACGGTAAAAAGTAAAATCTAAAAAGAAATAAAAACAATAAAGAATAGGAGAAACCTCGGTTTAACATCCCATCATCATTGTTATTATTATTATTATTTTCTATTTTTGAAGAAATGCATATTTAGGTTACTGGATCACTAGCATATATACACTTTAAACTCGATTTGATATAAATGTGATGGGATGTCAAAGATTCAATATGGATGTAGGATTATATCAGTCTATTTAAAAATTTATATTAATAAAAACTAATATTTCATAATTCCAATTGTTTATTTATTTTTGTCTTAAAATGTCTATTTAATCAAAATTAAACTGGTATATTTTACTAAAATATTTTTATTTAAACTTTATTTTGAACATATTGTCTAAATATAATTTAACAATAGTAATAAAAGAGATAGTAATTAATAATTTTTTAATATCTAATAAGTTAAAGAATTTTTTTTTAAAAAAAGAAGAAATAACTAAAAATACCAAAAAAAAAATGGAAATTGTTGTCTAAGAGTTGCGAGCATAGAATTTAAACATGGCCTTTTTATATTCTTGAAATCCGCAAGGAATTGACAGGGTATGGTGAATTGGTCAGATACGCTACTTTTTGGTCTCTTTTGGGTTGGGCTGCTGCCTGGGATCATTGAAGCACGTGCTTTCTTTTTTTTTTTTTTTTGTAATTATAATTTTGTCGTCTTTAAAAATACCAAGAAAGAATTTTGGATCATCCATCTTCGTCTTTGGCAACCAAATGGCAAAGCAAGCTAGTATTGAATTACTTAAAGATCCAATTTTATAAACAAGATAATATTATTTTTATGAAAGAACGTCTACCGTTTTTGCGTAAAGATCAAATTTTAGAACATCCTCTTTATAAATTATAAATAAGGCTAAAAAAAATAATAATAAACAATCAGCACTTGAAAAATTGCCACTGGCTACTGGCCCAAAATAGACGTCCAACAGCTGGTATTTAGGCCAGCTCTCGTAGGTAAGTAGTTAAGAGGTGACTGCCGACACCTTCAGAAAATAAATAGCCTTTACAGTATGGTTGTTTGCTAGAGAGCGATTTCCATGCATGTCATTACAGCAAATACTAAGCATCTTAATGACAAGATAACTTGCGGATCTAAATCTAAGATGTATAACCTCAACACGAATGGATGAGAGGATATTACCAATTATTAACTGTGGCAATAAAAATAAAAATATTATACGAATGCCACTCGCAATTAATGCGGTGGTAGTGGGTGCTTAAGAACGTAACCGACCTATCTTCATGGTAACAATTAATTATAGATTCTTCATAATCATTTCAGCGTAATCAATACAAATTAAAACCCTCACGCAAGAAATTTGGATTACAGAAATCATTGTGGACATTATTTGATTCCATATTAGAATATATTATATCGTTTAATCATACCTCTTTAAAAACAGGAATTCGTATATGAAAAAATTAATATATATGTTTGGTCTTCGTGAATTAATCTAACTTTCTGGTGAATATATAGACTTTCCATTCCTATTGCTTCTCTTTTAAGATTAATTATTAAAAAAGACAAAGCTGGAAAAAAAAATTAGGTTACTTTTTATGCATCTGAGCTAGCGAGGTTGATTAAGATATAAGCAGTGTGAACATTAATTTGTTTCTGGTGGGTTGCTTGTTACCGTCGACTGACGTTAAGGTTCCATTTGCTAAGATAGCTTTGCTATGTTAACCACTCTTTCTTTTGATGTTTGTTAAATCGTTTTTCACGAAATATAAACTTTATTTGTTCGACGTTTCCCTACCTCACATGCACGGTCTTTTTCCACACCTAAGAGATCATCTTGGTTGATTGATCGGTTAATAATAGCATGAAAAAGACATAAAAGTCACATATTTATTAAACTAGTACTCTTTTTAACCGTCCCTGTGTGATTAATTTGCCTTATTTATAAATAACATAATATTATGTTGGTAGAAATATAAACGTAAAACCAACATTTAACACCATCATTTGTAAAAAAAAACATAATTAATATTAGTTTAGTCTATCTAAGTAATAAAAATATATAGATGGGAATAATACCATCCTGAATCAATTAACTTTTAAAATAAAAGTTAGTATGAGAAAATTTAACATCTCTAAGGCATTCTCGTTAAATATTGACAAGAATTCAATAGATTAATTCATGAATGTTGAGCTAATTAGAAATACAAACTAATTTCTTTGTAAGATTTTATGATTTTAAATAATATTAGACAAAAAATAAAACTCTGCTTCTTTTTCTCTATGTTAAATATTTATCATTTTCCAATTCCGAACAATGACAATAATCTTTAAAGAATTCGACCTTTTAATACGGCTTTCCTGTGAATTCTAATGCAAACAACTAATTACAAATAATTATCTTTAATTTTTTACGGATTCATTTATATTCTAATCCCGTTATAGCACGTAGCATTCATCTCACCACTCAATTAGTAATTATAAAGTTGGAAAAAGAGGGTTCTAATCTCCTTCGACTGGAAGTAAAAGTTTCGATTTAATCAAATTAAATTCAAAGTGCAAGAATTATTCTGATTAAATATGCAAAGTAGAGGGACCACATGTAATTTTTAGCCGTTCATTCTATTGAATACGATGGAATGGCCGTTGGTTGGATAAAGAAGAGGAAAAAACGAGTTAAAAATGTTACGTCAAAAAAGAGTTTTATCACTCTCAACTGCTATGTATATTGTTTTCTTGAAATTTAATTAGGAAAATTTTCTTTTATATCATTATCACGACCAATAATCGATATCATATATGTATGTATGTCATTGTGAAATAACAAATTTAAACCGTAGCACAAATCAATTTTGAATATATATATATATGGAGGAAGTTATTGAGAATTTATCGGATGATTAATCGACATGTCAATTAAGATGTGAAAAGATAATGTTATAATTTATAAAAGTAAAAGTTAACCAATCAAACGAAACGATGTAAATAGTGAGAAACGTAAGAAGAGAATCATGCAATATTAGTAAGACGTAAGTCTTGTGGCTCATAAGTCAAAGTCCAAATAAGTAAAGTTTTAGGTATTATCTAGTATATAAATAAAAGAGGTTTGAAATTGAGAGTTCGGATATTTCTTTTATATTTCTAAAGTCAAAAGTTATTTGATACAAAAATTATCATCCTCTCACAATGATGTGAGGTTGATATTTATAGTAAAAAAAATAGTCCTTGATCATTAGGATCGAGTCACGTCATCCAAGTTTAGACCATATATAAGATTTAGTTTTAAAAATTTAAGTTTTTTAAATAAAATTGCTTCAACTTGCTCAAAATCCCTAAAAGAAGTAATAGTTGGGTTTTACTTTAGTGAACTCTGCTCCAAGTCCACCAAGCCAGATTCCTTAACATGATGTGCATTCCAAAAACAAAATATGGATATTAACTCTACTAGATCACCCATGTCAAACATTGAGATCCAAGATTTTGTGTTGAATGAGACTTGTCCTTAGTCCATTCCATTTATAGTGTACTTTAGACCCTTGTTGAAACCAAATAAAAAATAGCATAAATTAATATATAATAACAAAATAGCGAATTAATTTAAGTAAATATACCAACAAAATATTTATAAAGAATGATAAAATTCTTTACATCTCTAATAAAACTCCTCATTTAATTCACATATATATTTGCAATATTTATAATTATGTTATTGAACTTAATTTGATCACTTTGTACTTAATTTTTTTCAATTATTTGTTCTCATTTAACATTTTTTCCCAACTCGATCGATAGCTATATATGTATGTAAGATCAATAAATTTCTTGTTAAATCAATACAATTATTATTAAATATCTTATTGAATACACAGACAAATAAAAAACTATTTTAAGTAAAATAATTTTAATTTATGTAAAAACCGTCAAAAATATTTATATGAATAAAACTCGAGTTTTTTTCTTTTTAACCGTCAGCATAAAATATAAGTTATAGAGAATTTTTTCAATATTGAGCATCGAAGTTTGTGCTTTCCTTACTCCAAACCCAAAGGAGAATTATTTTTTTATATTGTTCTTTTCTTGCTTACGTGTCCTGCTAGTTTGGTCAACTACGCAATTTTATTAAATAAAAAAGAAGAAGAAGAAGAAGATGCCACGTCTTTTATGGCTTAAAAAACATGCATGCCTTGCACCCTCGCTTTGCAAATTTGGACAAATCAAATATTTTATTTG